TCGCTTTTTGCGTTGATTTTGACTCATCGATCCACTTGTATCTCACCCACACAACAGCGTACCTGTGGAACAGAATATTTCAGGTAAGATCTTCTGTTTTGATTCACAAGTTCATACATTTCACTAATCTTCTGTAGCATCCAGTGATACAGCATTTCTAGCGCATCCATTGATCAGCCGAGACATAGATTGATCCAATTGCAAACACAGGAACAGGATGAAGCTACCGGAGGACTTCAGACAGGGCAAGCAAATTGAGGGACGGAGTTAGTGTTCTTATGATTTTCAGAAACCGGTTTCAAAATTTGAATTTCCTCGCCCAGTGTGTTTAAAATCCGACCATGATTATGCTAGAAAACTAGCAAAATCTCTGTTCGGTCTTTAAATGTTGGGAGCGCACTGATTGTGATTAGTGACAGTGTAATTTGAATTCTCGCTGTTTAGATTCAACATTGGTATTGATTGAAATTCAGATTCAAGAATTATGGGAAAGGAAATTACATAAGATCTGGGAATGTTTGGAACAGAATCAAACCGTGTTTAGCAATAAACCATTTAGGGATTGTTTTGGGTTGCAGGCAGGTTACAATATAAAAGCCCGCACGGTAGACTGTGACCTGAAATCTGATCTTATTCACAATCATCAAAAAGAGCCATTCACAAACATCAAAAGATGGTCTTCCTTACGTGACTGCTATGAATCCCAGAGCTTCATGAATGAATAAAAAACCTAATGTGGCCTCAATGAATTCAGAAATTTTTGTGACAGATAAAAAGTATTCCAAAAAGTATACCTGTCTCTAAGTTAGTTTTCATTTAATGATGTCTTTTGTTATAAGTAACCTGTTTATACTTTTTAGGTGAAACAGAAAAGCCCTTTGTTTTAGAGACATTAAACAGGTGTTTATAGACAAAACATAAGATAAAAATTACTAGAATACAAATACCACAAAACTAATATTAATTAATTCATGTTAATCAATCAATCAATTTAAATTATAACCGTAAACCCATTTGAGATTGTTTATTCGTATATTTGAGACAACAATGGGACCGTACTCATTCTTTGCCATCTACAAACGATTACGCGCCCAGCTACTTGCACCCTGGAAACTCTGTTTTTGACATTTAACTCCTTTAAACCATGACAGTTAACCAGCTCCAGATTCATGGGGTTAAACACGTTGCCAAAGCACGGTAAGATGCACGTTTGGCTCAGCAACAAGATTCTTTGTGGAAGCACCCAAGAGCTGAGGATTGTACCAGGTTGATTACACACTGGCATGGGTGTATATTAGTGGGATTAAGCACCTGACGTGAACTTGTTTGTTTTGCTTGGATGGTTTACGTCAATCATCTGTCAATCCCGGCTCTTACACATTCAAACTTGATGGGCCTTGTGTGTTTAAGCCAATCATGGCCAAGTTCATGTTGGACGTCTTGCCCAGCGAATCAAGCCTCCCAACTTAAAAAGGAACTTGTGATTTCTTGTCAAGTGTTTATTTCTCCGCTGGTTTGCTGGATTTGAAGATCAGTGCTGGTCATTTTGAAAGCTGCACTGGAGTAATGCAAGATATTCGTATCTAAATACCTAAAGATCCCAAGCTCTCACCACAGATCTAGATGATAAGCAGCGCTGGCCTGGATATACGTGCCACCTACCCGTCCATCCACACCAAACTCACAAACACGTCTCAAAAAATAGTCAGTACTTTCGTTGTCAAGTTATGTTTAGCTGTAAAATATCTAGAGAATCGAATATAGACGTACCCGTACCATAGTCATCTCTTGGTTTGGGACCAGTGTACCATCGGGCATGTCGCGACTCGAGTCTGTGACATATGGTGACATATATCAGATATGCGAGCCTTTGGCTGTGAGCGTATATCAATATATGTGGCGCACAGCCTTCGCTTGGGCCCAGTGTCACTACAGCCAAACTAACGACTATAAAACCCACTTTGTATTCGTTTCTCTGCAGATCCAAGAAAATGTTTCGCCTTGTTCTCATCACTCTTCTTCTGCTCTTCCTAGTCGCAAGAAGTGCCGAGCAGCAGGATGGTCTGGTTCGAACCATCAGCAGTGGCGGGGACAAAGTGACGGTGGACTTGAAGCCCTTCTCAATCCGCAGTCCCAACTTTGGCGTGCTAGTGCAGAATGACACTGGCAGCTTTCTCTCATACGACAACATCCCGCCTTCTCGTACGTACCTGGGTTCAGTAAGAGACCACCCCGGTGCCATGGCCACGGCCTTGCTCAACGTCAACGGAACTCTGCTTTGTCGAATCAGCTTCGAGAACGGGGTGGAGTGGAGCAGCACCGGAGGCGAGGCCTCGGTGAGGGGAACCACGGGTTGGAACTCGAATCCCCGGTGGCCAACCAGCCTCGTTCCTGCTTCCAAATCCGACGCTGTACTCTTCGTAGCGGAAGTCGGAGTGGATGCTACTTACTTGTACTACCTTTCAACAGGTTCTAGCGTCGAGAACACAGTGAACATGGCAGAGTTCTCCATCCTGTCTGCGAATATGCCCTTCCTCCGAGATGCTTCCATTCTTCACACGATTGGGAAAGTGGTGATCCGTGCAAGTCAGTCCCAAGATCCATATGGAAACCCCAAGACCGGAGTCCTGCTCGACAGGGTGGAGAAACAATGGAGAGGTGCCATTGCTTCCGTGGTAGGCAACACTCACAAGCTCTGCTTGGTTGCCCATCCTCGGGCTAACGGAGGCTTGGCATGGGTAGCAACGGCGGCTAAGCCGGTGGGATACTCGGCCATCAGTGCTACTGCAAACGGAGATTTCACGGTCATCTGGCGGCACGAGGCTGGTCACAACTGGGGATCTAGCCACTACGAAGGTGGTGGACGGCCCGAGGGACCGACTATCATGTCCGACAACCAGCTCTCCCGTTTCTCGTCTTCCGAGCTTGCCAAGATCCTGCGCTACAAGTCTGGTGTTCCTCGCCTTGCAAGCAACATTACGGTTGCCCGTCCACCCCGTGCGAATATGGATGCGATCGACATCCCGCAGAATTGCACCTGTTGCACTTGCTTCAAGAGCCTGGACGTTCTGGCCAACGATCTGGATGCCGACGTCAAATCACTCACGATCGCCTCGGTCCAGTCTCCTTCGGCTTTGGGCAGTGCCACTAGCATCTCAAACTCTAGCTGGAACCAGATTACTTACACGCCGTCTTTGGCAGCAGGATTGTTTCTCGACCATCTCAAGTACACTATCCAGAATTCCCTCTTGAGAAGCTCCACAGGATACGTAACCCTCCGTCCCGCTGCTCTCCTGGGCTGGTGGAAGATGGATGAGGCGAGCGGCTCGAAAGTGCAAGATTCGTCTGGGCATGCAGCGAATGGGGTACTCAAAGGAGGATCCTGGAACAACGGCAATGGGCTTTCCTTTGGAGGTGCAGGGACGGTGTCACTCGGCGCAAGTCCCTCCATCAGAGGCAAGACATCCTTCTCCATCGCCTTGTGGATATATGTTACCAGTACTTCAGAACAAGTCATCATCCAGCAAAGGAGTCCACCGAGCAGCATCACAAGTGGCTCCGACGGAGGATATCAGCTCAGTCTGTTTGAAGGCAAGCCCCGGTTCTGGGTGTTTTCGGACTCCGGAGATCAATTCAGATTCTCTGCCTCAGCTGCCATCAACGACGGTGGATGGCACCACATCGTAGCCGTTCGTGATCAGGCCGAGGGCCAGATCTACATTGATGGCAAGCTATCGGCCTCTGCAAGCGGCGACATCAAGTATTTGGATGTAACTATCCCCGTGTTCATGGGTGCTGATGCGCGCGACAACACCTCATTCCTCACGGGTTCCTTGATGGGGGCAAAGATCTACAGCCGAGCTCTAGAACAGGAAGAGATCGGGTATCTCAGCACCTGGCCAGAAGCTCTCGTGGCATGGTGGAAGCTGGATGACAAGAGTGGAGTCTCTGCAAAGGATTCGTCCTGGAACGGAGCAACCGGGAGCATCGAGGGATCAACGACGTGGAATCCCGACGGCGGACTTACCTTCGACGGCGCTGGCAAGGTGGTGCTAGGAACAAAACCCTCTCTGTCTGGCAAGACATCCTTCTCCATCCATGCGTGGGTGAAGGTGCCACCAAGTGCTGGTAAAATTTCACGAGCGATCATCATCCAGCAAAGGAGCCCGCAAAGCAGCACAACAAACGGTTTCAATGGCGAATACTTGCTCTACTTGGTCCATGGCAAGCCTCACTTCTTTGTGTATGGGAATTCTGCGACTCAGTTCGACTTCTCTGCGTCTTCTGCCATCAACGACGGCGAGTGGCACCACATTGTGGCCGTGCGTGATAACGGTGTGGGGCGGATCTACATTGATGGCGAGCTGTCAGCTTCTAAAAGTGGCACTGTGGTGAGGAGCTTGGATGCATCTATCCCTGTGTTTCTGGGTTGGGATTCTCGCTCGGGCAATTCCTTCTTCACAGGTTCCTTGAAAGGTGTCAAGATTTATAACCAGGCTGTGGCACCCAACTTTGAGGCCGAGCGTAACACCATGCTCCTGGCATCAGCATAAATACCATATATATGCTATGTATTGTGATATATTTTGAATATATATTAAATGTATTGAATATTAAATATATCTAATAAATACTATATTATTTATATTTTATCATTCCTTCCAAAGGAACAGGAATTCACCCGCAATTTTTGATGCTTTTCACCTCAGCGAAACACCATGTAATTTGCTTGTTCAAATGTATGAGAGCAAAGATTCGACAGAATCCGAGGTCCAAGCAATGCAGGTTTAGAGATTACTTCCCAAACGGCAAACGACTACTCTAGGTAAGTCAAATTTGAATTTTGACAAAAAAATTCACGAGCTGAATGACCCACTGGAGTCTCAGTAAGCGGATGTGATCGGTTCAAGCAGGAAGAATATCCCTCAAACAACGTGCAATTATTTTAAAAAATTATATAAAATGTCTTCTACTTTAGGGTTCTTCAGTGAAAATGCGCTCAAGATCTGGCTGGAAGGCTTCTGCAATGAATTGGTACGTATCCAATAATCGTTGGATTCGTCCGGTTCTTTTCTGATCATTTTTCTTCGTTTTTGGTACAGTTCAAGGTGGATTGAGTGAGAGCTCATAAATGCGAGTTCCTCTTCTGTTCAATCATACAAGGTTGTGATCAGGATGAACTGGACACCGACTAGATGCGCAAGTCTAAGGGTTCTAGTCGCCTACTGCTTCGTCCACATACCACGAATCAGGTGTGAACTAGATTTAGTTTGTAAATTGTGGATGAAGGTTTCGGAAATACTTTGCTACAGTAGTAAATCAGGTTTCTCAAGTTGGTCACACTGGACTAATTGGAGGAAGTGTTCCTCTGTTTGATGAGGTAATTGGATATCTTTTAATTTTCCAAGAATGTTGCAATTTGATATATAATCAAGCAGATTATACTGAATCTCGATGCCATGAACTCAACCCTTTGCTTTTGATGAGGTAAACCTTCTTCGTTCTTTAGTTTTTTGTTATTAGTTGATCTTCAGTCACTCATAATAGATCAGTATTGTCATCCATTGCCTACTGTAAATGAACTGTTCTATCTCCTCATCGAGATCACAAAGGTGCAGACGAAAGCTCACGCAATTCATTACAGCAGAAGCCCTAAATCCGTAAATAATCAGCACTTGGTTTTTTTCTGATAAGCTTTCCCTTACTAGGTGCAATTGATGAAGAACATGAAGAAGCTCTTGGATCCTAAAGGCATTCTCAACCCTTACAACGTTCTTGCGTAATAGTCGGGAACTTTCAGACAAATCTTCGACAAACTCTGAAAATACATTTTTCTAAAAATCGATTTAGAAACAAGCTCAAATTGTCCTGAATGTTACTTAAAAAACATTTAAGTTTTTGGTCGCACCAAAATGGCGGCAGGATTTTTCCGGCCGCACCAGCTGTGCAACAGGAAAAATCCTGCCACACCTTCTAGCATCGACTTGGTGAGCGCATTCAGTGCCTTTTTGGCCGCACTCTTCTCCACCAGAATGAGAGGAGACATTCTTGATTGTTGATCCATAGCTGAAGACTGCTCACTAATTCCTCAACTCACCTGGATGATCGATCGACGCCTCCTCTAAGCGCGAATACAAATGCACAGGCTTCTAAAATTAGGGCCTACTTAATAATGATTTATGTCAGAAAATCGCTTGCCCTAATACCCTGTATTTTCTATACTTGGAATAATCTCCAAATAATTATGTCACCAGGTAGGAATAAACCTATCCCCAGGTTCGAATCCTGGCAACCCCCTAATTTTTTGTTTTAGTTTAGTTTAGCTGACTTGCATACTAAAATACGCTTTAAAATCGTATAGTTTATCAATATTAATTTAGGGCAAGAGGCATGAAATTTTGACTTTGGTTTTAAGTTAAGGTACTTGGCTGCTATGACGGCGTCCCTGTGAGTCTTAGAGCTGATAAAAGACTCACAAGGACGCCGTCATAGCAGCCAAGTACCCATTCCAGTTCATCTGGCTGGTAAGGTATACTAAGCAGCAGAGCTTCAGCATCTCTCAAAGAACTCGCCCGCCCTAACAAATCGATCATGCAGCAATAATGTAGGCTTCAGCCCGTGATCAAACATCAGACTCACAAAGCAAGACCTACCAGCCTCCAGCTTCCCGATCCGGCCAAAGACAACAGAAAACATGTCTCATCCGGCAACTTGCTAAAGGTTTCCATGGCGTGCCTGGGATACCCGTTCTGGGCATACCCAGCCAGCATTGTGTTCCAAGAAGCAATGCCTTTCCGGGTCATCTGCAGCTGAAATGCCGATGCTTGAGTCATATCTCCGACTTGGACATAAGTGGCCAGCATTGCCGTCCACGACACAGAGCTCCACTCGGGCATCATTTCAAAGACGCGCTCCGATCCTTTGAGATCTCTACAGAAGCAGAACACACGAAATACGTCCCGCTGAGGCATCACACCGAAAATCTGACTAGCCTCGTCTGCGTGACCGTTCCGGGCATACAACATTAGCATCGAGTTCCACGACACCAGATCCCGCTGCGGGGATTCCTCGAACACCGCCATCGCCTCCTCCACGCAATTCATCATCCTGGTGTTCTACGCGGAAAGCATGACATTCCACGAAACCAGATCCCTCACCGGCAATTCGAAACGAAACATCTGTCTGTGGCTCTGTCCAGATGCCCATTCCGGGCATATCCAGAAAGCATCCAGGCGGCCAGGTTCCAGTTTGCCGCGAACTCTCTACTCGGCCGTCGTTGTCAGGCGGAGCAGTTAAACTGGGAACGTAGGCAACGTTCCATACGGACTCTTCTCGGTTCACGTTCCAACGAGGGACGTGCAAATGCCAAGCACGAGTGTCCAGATTGAAGGCCACCGGTCGGTCCAACAAGTGGAGAAAGAGCATGTTGTTAGCCCGTTTGCAAGGAAGCAGGTGATGGGGCTCCACGTTCCTGCACAAGCCTCTCACATCGATGCTGGACACAATCGTCCACTCCAGCTGCTGCTCATCAGCTTCTTCATCAGCCGCCTCCACGATGACCATCCACTTTGGAGCGAAGCAAGGCCTTGCGAAGGGCACACCACCAGCGTGTTTCCCCACAACCACAATGCCTGCTGCCATCAGCTTGGACCGGTGGTCCAGCCTGCCATACACCGATCCCGCATCATCCGAACCTCCTTCCGGCGGCAGTGGGGGCAACGACTTGAAATGCCAAAACGCCCATGCGTCCCTTGCCCGGCTGTAGCCACTGATTGTGTAGCCCAAACTCACTGAGTCGCAACAGGAGGCGTATTGCGCGTATTGCACGTCCACCTGAAAAAACACCCGGTAATTCGTGGTGGTTCTGGTTCGTGGGGCACCTGCCATCCTCATCGGACACCCAAAGAGACACCGACACATAGCCCAACACGACTAAGTCGCAGGAGCCGCAGGACAGCAAAAACTTCTCCTGCAACCGTCTTGGGCAACCGCTTCAAGGCGCCAGTCATGGGGTTCATGACTGAAAACCAACTTGCATCATTGGACGTGACAATTCCTGCTGACATATCGAATAAAGACAATAATGCGTCAGGACAAGGGAGAGGCATGATATCTTTGTTGTGTTCACTCTTTTTAAGCAAGAAGGGTTGGGGGTAAGCTGCCGAAGCAAGAGAAGGATTCATAGCTGAGGTATGCCTGTCTTGATGCGTTTACACATATCATCATCTAACTGCTGGACTATGCCCAGACTGAAGTAGAAGAAGACCAACGAAAAAGAAGGAACGAAGAAGGGCCAACGTGAGGCTGAAAATATGACTGTGGAAGCATACACAGCATTAGTGCTGGCTTTCATTAAGCATCATGTCCTTCCAGGCCAAATAACAAAATTACCTCATCTCTTTGATCGCGAGCAGTCCTGCTTTGCAACAGGAGCTTGTGTCTTTCCAGCCACCATCTTTTGCAGCCCACTCCCTGCTCTTGCATGTCCCACACCATGGCCTGTAACTTCTTTGCCATGATCAGCCAAAGTGACTAGTCAATGTTGCAGATGAGTTTCTACCTGAACGTGCATGGAGATGACCATTGCATTGAAGATTCAGTCCTGAATCCTCTAAGTCATCCCTGGCAGCCAGTGTCCACTCGCATGCTCTTCCACGGCCATCAGTTGATCACGGGTGGTCATCTGAACTTGTTCCAATCCATCTTTTTCTTCATTCACAATCACTACTGAGTCATCTGAAGCTCGTTTGCACTGATGTCTTTGCACTTCCCTGGCTCTCTACCTTTGGCAGTCTGGTATAAGGAGTTAAGAATACAACTCCATAAAGCAAATAACTTTACCGTCCATGTTCACGTTTGTCGTTGTAGTTCACACCCCATGACTTTTTTGAAGTCGACTGGATCGCACATCGCTCCCGGTCGTCAACTTTCAAGGAAGCTGGACGTTGCCAATCGCTCGCGAGATTGGGATCGACAACGTGATCGCTGAAGCACAGCCCAGCGTCAAAGCCGATAGAGCTGGTCTGTCTCAACATCCTCCTCTTCAACAATGGGACAGTGAACAGGGTTGTCGTGCGGTGCTGCTCTCTGGACGCAGAAACTCCCAAGGCATCACCTGACCAGCAGAGATTTCATTTGGCCGCCTTTGATCTACCTTCGGATTTTTCCTGCATCTGAGGTGTCCACATTAGAAAGAAGAGAAAGATCAGACAAGCAAAACCATGAAGTTTAGGGTATACAGCCTGGCAGGCGCAGGTAATTTCATGACTTCATACACATCCATACTCCCCTCCGCCACCTTTGGAATTCCTGCCTGAACCGTTGCTTTCACGTAGAATTGGAAAGCAGTCAAAACGCTCCATAAGGATGTTGTTGTAACCCTCGTACTTCTTCCAGTTTGTTTGGCTTGGGTTTATGTAGGACTTCGTACTTGTCAACCGAAATCCAATGTCGGGTACCGTACATAGATATTTAAGTTCTGATTTGAGAAGAGGGAGGGGAGGGTTCAGAAACTGAAACCCAAGCGCATCAATTTCCGTTCCACATCTTACTCACAGTCCTCCAACAAATGCAGGACACGACCTCGATCTCGTACTCTATTCTCGTCGGACGACGCCCACACATTCCACAGTTGATCTCGATGCTTTGTCTGGACAATTCCTACAAATGCCATCAAAGAGTAAATAAGTTGGTGTATGATGAGTTGCACATCTCCAACGAAAGTGACTTGCCTAAACTTGAGATCTGTGGCCAACTTCATGGCACTAATAGCCACAAGTACTCTGTTTCATTAGCTGATGTTGCTGGCAAAGTAATAGAGAGGTCAGCTACTTTGTTCTCCGCAGAATCAATCATCTAAACTCCAATGCCGGCAACTTGGTTTTTGGGGTAGAAAGCACCGTCAAAATAAGCTGTAATCATAGGAGTGTCCTCTTCTTCAAATAAAGGACACCACATCTGGCAAGACCGTCTTTGGCAAGTCTAGCAAGAACATTGCTGTTGGATCTGGAGTCTTTGTCTGTTGTTCTCTTTGCTTCTAATGCTCTAAGCGCTCAATTTCCAATGCAAAGACTATGGCCAAGTATTCTGCAAGTGGAGGAAGTTCCTCCACTGAAGTCAAGTCCAAGTTTGGTGCTAAAGTTTCAGTGTAATACACTTGGATTTGTACCGGGAGCTCCATGGTAGGAAATTTTGAACTCAAAGAGCTATAACTCGCATGTAGCACGTTCAATTGACTTGATTCTTTCTACCAGTTGTGTGTCTGGATGTCATCTTCTGTCTCCAAGGAACAGCATGGCAAAATACGCTTAGAGTCATTTTAGTAGGAAGATGCTGGCTGTGTGACACCTCAGACAATTGCTGAGGAGGATTGAGTTCGGCTGTGTCTTGTGAAAGATGGACTTGTTCTGGAGTGATTGTGTCCTCAAGCTCCATAAGAGAGAGTTGGTC